TAAAATAAAATAAAATAAAATAAAATAAAATAAAATAAAATAAAATAAAATAAAATAAAATAAAATAAAATAAAATAAAATAAAATAAAATAAAAGAAAAGAAAAGAAAAAACAACCGAAGTGAGTTTGAGAAGAGATGCAGAGTTCAGTGAGACTGAGTACGGATAAACTTCAGGCACGGAGAAACACAAGTTGACAAAATGACTGGGAGGCAGCGTGGAGAGGTAAATAAGCTCATTTGATAGAAAGGATGGTAAAAGGAAGAAGAGAATCCAGTAAGTAAGGAGGTGAGCTGGGGTTTAAAGAGAAAAGAAGAAATGAAAGATTCAATACTTGTTAGGATTGTTGATGTCCTTTCCAGCCTTTCAAAGAGTACTTTTGCCCCCCCCACCTCCCCCTTCTTTATGGCTTTCTAAGCGTATGTTTGGTATTTTACGCACCCCTTTCTGGATCATTTCTGGTTGTTTATGATTTTGGGTTTCCGTTCATTGCCGGGGGAAAATCAAAGGACAGTATGTTACCACTTTTACCAGTTGACTTGTTTGCTTTTCCGGATACGATTTCGTTCCCATTCTAGACCACGCCTCCGGATCCCGTATTGAACCTTCATTGAAGAGTTTCAACCGAGAAACCTTCTTTGTCCGGGATCCGTTCGGGGCGTAGCCGGGAAAGTCTATACACTCATCGTAGACTCAAGATGGCGGAAACAGAGCCCGAAATACCAACACGACGGGATCAGAGAAGTAGAGAAGGGAGAGGAAAGACAGAGTGACAGAGAGAGACATGGCTAATGAGCTGGACTGGTCTCTGATTCATTTTGTTGCATAACGCCATGCTAGTAAGTGCCAGGAATTCGAGAGACCTGAAGTTCATAAATTGAGCGAGCCTAACAGCGTGGTGATTCCCTTCTCAACTCATAATTCTATCCAATCTACTGCATATCCTTAGGGTCAGTAGTACTTACACGCACCATCTTTGTTCCTGTGCTCTTCTACTGAATCGCACCTTGTGCCCTTTCATTGGGACAACCTCTACTCTCACAATGAACAACCAGGACCGTCTCGTCGTTGGATTGGACCATGGTACGAGCAAAACGGGCAAGTGACGACCCTCTTTCGGTGTATTCGGCTTGGTTTTCCTTTCACTCCCCTTTCCAAACTCGGGCGCTAATCATAACATGCAATTGAGCTCTGACATACTGGGCACAAAACCGAGGGGAGGTTGTGGAGTGGCAGCCTGTTAACCGCATTCCGATCACTCCGTCCGTCATGGCCTACCCCGACAAAAGGCCGCCCCTTTGGGGCAACGCCGCCAGAGAACATCGCGACCGCGTTTCCTGGTCCAAGTTACTGGTGGATGGCTCTTCGCCTGTGCCAGTGAATGGACTGGATCTCAAGGCTCTCCTCGGAGACAAAGGCTTCAGCTTTTATCAAAATCGCACACGGATTACGCGCGTCATAGCGGACTATCTACGAAATATCCGGCTGTCTTTCTGCAATGACCCCAACGTCACCGAAAACTTAAGAATTCGAGCCCTGCCACCCATTGCCTGGCACATTTCAATGCCAGCCTGTTGGTCCAGAAATGGAATCAACACAATGATGGATGCAGTGGAGACGGCTGGATTTCTAGACAACGGCGGTACCGTTTCCTACTATTCGGAAGCGATGGCCGCTGCCATTGGGGTCTCCTACAGACTCATCGCCAATTCCGTCCAGGTAGGGGATAAACTACTCGTGTGCGACCTTGGGGGCGCTACCAACGTAAGAAGATTTTGACGGCCAGGTGACTGGTTTGACGTGCGCAATAGCTTACATGGAGCAGGATTTCACGACGTTCGAAATCACGGGCGTCGATCCGAATCATCCCCGACGATTGACTTTTCAACAAATTGGCAATCACAGTTCGGCTGATTGTACAAATCCGCACATTGAGAATGCCCTTTTGGAGCACATCCGGCGAGAGCTGCGTCTGCCGCTGAAATCTGGGGATGTCGCTCGCCTAGCGGTTGAAGCTGCCAGGGCGGCGAAGGAACGATACAATGGTCGCGGCAACGTGACTGTTACCCTCCCCATTCCCCGGGACTATCTGCAAAGATGGTACGCCGGCGGCTGCGACCTTTCTAACTTTGACGACAGACAGTTCACTTTCAGCGCCAGGGTGCTCCAGAAAGCCATGGATTCGGTTGTCACTGACGTCCTGGGCCGGATAAAAGATCAAGCCAAGACGCACGGCGCCAATAGGATAGCCATTGTGGGAGGCTTGAGCTGTTCCCAGTATTTTTAGAGACGGATAGAGGCCGATTTTGCCAAGATTCCCGAGGTCAGCCATCTGCTGCCTGTGAATTATTTTGATGGCTATGACCCGTGGGTTGCCGTGCTCTCCTCTCTTCAAACAAGAGCTAACCGTAAATCACAGCATGACAATTGTTTCACACGGTTTGGCCCGTATAGGGAGTGCCCCAAACCCTATGCAGTATAGGAGTCCATGGGAGTATGGGATTTTCAGCTCCTTCATCGAGCGGCTTGGGGCCGGGGATCTGCACTCCGAATATCGTCATACGACCGCTATTACTTCGGTACGCATCCTTTTTAATTGCCACTATCACGGTTTGCCATTCTGAATCTGACAGCTTTGAACATCTTCTTTCAGGTTCAGGCAAGTAATAATGTGCCCCGACAAGGGCAAGTACGATTTCGCCTTAGTGTACGCAGCCGATACCTCTCAGAGGACATATTAATAAGACGGCGTGATGTGGCTGGCAGTCAGTATACACTATCCTACACTGGTTCCTCACATTGACTGTGGACTGACACCATCCCGCTAGGAGTGGAAACCGTTGCGTTGTGCAAGCACAATGTTGACGATAATACCCCCTATGTCGACGAGCGCCGGTACCGGGATCTGGATGTAACTGTCCGCTACTATGAGATAGTTGCATCTTGGTCATTGAAGACAGACGTCCACCTCAGCATGGAATGGAGATTTGAGGCGGAGGCCCCGGGCACCGGATTGCTACATGAAGTAGCAACTGCCAGCCATCGAGCGGATGAGATAATGCTCTGCTGGGCCACGTGAAAACTGTAGATTCCCTATCTTTTCTTTTTTCTTTCTTTTCTTTTTTCCCCCTTGGAGTGTTCTCACTGTTCTCTACTCTTTTTTGTTAGGCGAATAGCTTAACTTGTTCTCCCCGGCATGTCTTCCTTTTGATTACATGTTTAATCGCCTTTCATATGTTCGCCATCTAAGTTCGGGTATTATGGTTGTACTAGACTTGTTTGTGTATCTAGAATGTATCAGTTTATTTGATTTAATCGATGGCAGGAAAGCAGTATGCCTTCGGAAGACGAGTACTTACTACCCTGGCCGGTCCACTCTTAAACCCTCCTCACTGCCACTCTTCCGGATTAAAAGGTTCTCCAACAAGGATGATGTTTTGGTAGAAGGATACTCATAAGGTAGTAATAGCCCATCACTAGTAGCACCGATGAGGGGTCGTTAACCCCGCGGGACTCATACCAGCTTCGTATGGATGAAAGGAGCCTCCTTCTTTTTTACCCCTTTTTATTTATGTATGTTCACTTCACTTTTTGCCCTTTTCCCCCTCGAATGCAAACGAAGGGACCAGAAGTGCAGCTACACTGGGCGAGAAATCGGGAGGGCTACGAGGAGAGTTAATAGCCTACTAATAGGTGGGAAGCGAATCACAGCCGGATATCTACAGCCTTTGTGTGAAGGGTCTAAACTCCACGTCAAAGTCAGGGAGCTCTCTCGTGCGGTCAGAGAACACGCAAACGCTACGGACTAGCGGAACAAGGCCCAAAGTTGAAATCGAATGGTACGAGAGATGAACACGACCGACAGAATGTACTCAATACGTTAATAAGCCCATGGGTACTGTCGCCTCTCAGGGCTTCCTTCCTCAGAACTCAATTCCGGACATTCAACAGCTAGTCTACTGCCGCCAGATGGTCTCTCGTAGGGGCGGAAGATCCCTGACCGGATCAGCATTCTCCTCCGTGTCATCATCTTCCTGGCTCTCTCCTTCCTCCTTGTCCATTCCAACGGTGTCCTCGCAGTCATTGCTGACAGCAGCTGCTGCCCATAGTGCCCGGGCTTTTCTCCCCTTGGCTGCCACCAGTACTTCGGCACGGTTCACCATCCATGGGGGCACCGTACAAAAGTGTTTGAGGGAGATGATGTCGATGTAGCTATAGCTTGGCCGCGTCACAATCAAAACCCGACTGCCTTCAACGGGTTCAAATCCTGCGTGGAAGGGATGGACGATCATCTGGCCCGACCAGTGGTTGAATTTCGGAAGATCTGGCAGTCGCACAATGTTCATATTACCGTAGAGACCACCATCGCCGTGAATGACGGTTTGAGCGGCAGATTCGAGGAGTAAACGCAGACTACTCTTGCGCTGGGATCGTTTGTACTTGGTTACTGGATCCCGAAGCAAGAGCTGGAAGAGCCGGGAACGCATCAACTCATCAGTGTAAGTCTTCACAAGCGCCGTGCGATGTTTAATTGTGTTGCGGCCGACGGGAGTGGGTGGGATGTTGTTCATCACGCAGGGTTCATCGTTGAGCTTTCCAACAATGATGGATTTCCACCACGCTGCATCCTCGTGGGAAACTTTGTGGTTTTGTTAGGGGTCAGTAAAATCGCATTGTCTGCCGGTGAGAAGTTTGAGGGAAGTAAGAAACAAAGACGGATGGGACGAAGGAACAAGAGCAGACCAAAAGATCATGATTAATTAAATGCAAAGAAAAGGGTGGTATGTGAACTGACCTTGTAGGAGCCACTCGTACACGTACTGGAACCTCTTGTGGAAATCAGACTGGGGCTCTGAATCGGTGGCTTTGATCTTTCCGTCCATGAACCAGAATGGAGAGAGAATCTATGAACTTGGTACAGATGAATTGGTTCAGCATTGTCTCAACCAGGATCCATCCGAAATTAGCCCGAGCGGCAGGAGGGAGGCTGAGAAGGATGCTATCCCAGTCTTCCTGGACACAGTATTCATCCAAGCTGGCGACTATCGCCTGTTTATCCGAATCCGCAACATGAGAGAGTGACTCTCCCTTTCCCCACATGGTTGCCCATGTTCTCACCCGAACAAAGACCGACTCAAGAGCATGGCCGACCGTCACCTCTGCAGCTCTGGGGGTGGCGCGGGTGTAAAATACAGCTTTATGATGATTGATCATGTCGTGATACTCATCTCGTCGACAAAGGTACATCTCATTGGGGTAGATGGCTGGCTTAGGGACTGGGATCGGGCAATTCAGCGGGGTTTCCTCCATTTCCTCTTCCCGGGAATGCTTAGAAGGTTTTGTCTGGGTGCTAGTAGTCGCCATGGTAGTGATGATGATAAGTTCACGGAGGAAGAGAGGTAGAGAGAAAAGGGAATGGTGCCTGTGGGTGTGAGTGTAAAAGGGAGACAGGCCGAAGAAGGCAAAACAGGTGAAGAGTAGGAAAAGAAATATACAACAAAAATAGGGCAAAGCAACAAAGAAAAGTATCAAGAAGGAGTGGAACGGGGAGGTGTATATGGGAAACAAAAACGGTTCGGTCGACCTTGACCCCATGCAGGAACGAACGGTCATTGTTTACATTCATTTGGTTTGATAAACTCATCATCGGTACCTTGTATAACTTTTGTAAAATTTTCTTATTTCTATCTTTGTGTACTTTTGTAGTCTCATCTGTTGTTGCCATTTTTATTTTTTCGTTTCTTCTTCTCTCTCTTTTATTAACCCTAATTATTTTTCGGTCGATTTTCATGTATTACTTTTCCATGGGAAATACACCTCGTATTCCCGGTCAAGCCGCAGAAGCTTCTTCCGTCACTAGTGGCATAACCAATCCTTTCTAGCCATTCGTCTGCCTGAGGCATCAATCCACCATGTGCCCTCTCGGGCTAAAAGAAGTCCCGATCACGTGGTCCCAAGTGGTAGTGACACCTCAGGCATAAATCAATTGTCCTCACGTGCCTGGCTTCGAATCAAGTCATTCCTTCATGCATTCCTCTTGTTGATCTTATATTTCACTGCATGATGAGAGAGAGAGAGAGAGAGATGGAAGTTTACAGCAGAATTTGTGCGCAAAGATGAACGAAAGCACCTGCTTACCTACAGGCGTAAATCCGTGTTCCGGTGGAAGGCAGCTAATTCCGCGTCTTGCTAAGAGCTGATTAATTCCCGAGTGTTTAGTGAGGGTCTCTCCCCTGCGGCTTACAAATCCTGATTGGTCGAGCGTGGTAATCACGCCACAGTAATGCAGTTTGATAATAATGAAAAATAATGAGGAAGGTGAAAGTGTCCAATAGAATGGAAAAATGTCCCCCACCAGACTGGCGGGGTAAAATCAAATACCGCATATCTATATAAGTCGTAGTCCCGCCCCGACATCAAGTCTGACATTCTATCGGTATCAATCAAATTCAACTTCATCAACAAGTCAACTACTCTAGTATAATACTTTCACAATGGGTTCCACTCAGCCGCAATTCAAAAACCCTGCCACCGCCTCCCTCCTGGAGCTGGTCAAGGCCCGCCGCACCTACTACGGCCTGAAGGCCGAGAGCCCCATCTCTGACGATGCCATCGAGAGCATCGTCGCCGATGCCGTTCTGCACGTGCCCAGCTCCTTCAACACTCAGACCTCCCGCGTCGTCCTGCTGCTGAAGGAGGAGCACCAGAAGGTCTGGGACATCGCCATCGCTGCCATGGAGGGTCTGGTTGCCGCTGGCCACCTCCCCAAGGAGAACTTTGAGAACCAGACCAAGCCCAAGCTGGAAGCCTTCCGCGCGGGCTACGGAACGGTCTGTTTGCCCTTATGATCTGGCTTGACCAACATATCCAGCTAAACCAACATTAGGTCCTCTTCTTCGTCGATTATGACTCCCTCGCCGGTATCAAGGAGAAGTTCGCCATCTACGCCGACAAGTTTGACCCCTTTGCCCTGGAGTCCAATGCCATGTCCCAGTACCTTGGTAAGTCATCGACCCTCTTTCATTATTATCATCGGTCCATGACGGGCTTTACCATGTGTCATCAGCAGTCGCTGACTCCCTTCCCAGTCTGGACCGCTCTGGAGTCCGAGGGCTTCGGTGCCAACCTGCAGCACTACAGCCCGCTCGTTGACGAGCAGATCCAGAAGCAGTGGAACCTGCCGGCCTCTTGGAAGCTCGACGCTCAGCTGGTCTTTGGCGTCCCTACCTCGGAGCCCGGCGAGAAGGCTTTCGCGCCCCTGGAGGACCGCTTCAAGGTCTTTGGCAAGTAGACGCATTACGATTGATGCAATTTTGGAGTTAGCGTGATAGATTAGACTTGCGGAGTCTTGCATTGGAGGCATTTCCGTTTGCTCGAATAGAATTTTCCTAGTTTTCTTGCAATATTCTCGTATATATGCGTAGGCGTGCTGGAACTGGTAGGGGTGATCGGCACTGCTCTAGCTATCGCGAGCTAAGTGCCGTCAAATCTGAAGACAGACTAGTAAGAGCACGGCACAGAGTTTGGGTGCCTGAGAGTGTCCCTGCTACGGAATCATCATTGCCTTGCCCACAGAAGGGATTGGCCACAGTTCAACCCATGGGCAAGAAATGCAAGACCATAGGCACAGATGAAACATACACGCAACGAGTCTGGGTCTTGGAAAATGCTTATCTTCGTGGCCTCTGTCCCTGTTGCGCCGACAGCTAAACTTAGCCCTCTCCACTCTTGTCCCGCCAAACAAGCTCATCGCGCACCCGCTCGTACTCGCTCACAAATTACCCAATTCGGTAATACCATTATGTTTCTCCTCCAGGGTCATCTTACATATAAGACCATCAATCCAGAGATTGAGAATTTCAGACTTTCACACATCCAACCGTTCTTAGAAGCCAGAATCGTATTTCACTTCAGTCCGTGAACTCTAATCATGGACTTTCAATTCCACCCCGGTGTCAATGGCTCCGACCCTTATGTCGACTTCTATCCTTACACACCCTCCGCGACAGCCGGGTACGCCTTCATGGCCATTTTCGGCATTGCGACCCTTGTCCACTTCGTCATGATGTTTCCTTACCGCGCCGCATACTTCATACCGCTAGTTATCGGGGGAATATGTGCGTCGAATCCATCTTTACCCTATCAACTGCCCCGACGCCCTACCACGACATCTGTCCATCCATTTTCCCCTCCATCTAACATAATCTCTCATTAGGTGAAACCTTCGGCTATTATGGCCGTGCCTGGTCCCATCAAGGCCGGACGCTCATCGGTCCCTGGGCCTTGCAGGAGATGCTCATCCTCTGCGCGCCGCCATTCATCGCCGCCACCATCTACATGATCCTCGGACGCATGATCGTGGCTTTCGCTGCCGAACACCACTCCGTCATCCGCCCCAAATGGCTCACCAAGATCTTCGTCCTCAACGATGTCATCTGCTTTCTAACGCAGATTGGCGGTGCCGGGGTGCAAGTCACCGGCGACGAGCATCTCATGAAAACGGGTATCAAAGCCGTCCTGGCAGGATTAATATTCTCTCTGGTGATATTTCTATTGTTTGTGTGGGTTGCTATTGTTTTTCATCTGCGGTTGAGTCGCGAGCCGACGTGGGTGGTCAATGAGAATCCGTGGTTGATGGGTGGATGGAAGAGATATATGTGGGCGTTGTATGTGGCGTGTGGGGCCTTGATGCTGAGAAACTTGGTCAGGACGGTGCAGTTTGGAGCCAATGAGACGTCCCCTTTGAACACTCAGGAGGTCTATATTTATGTCTTTGATGCCGCGTTGATGTTTGTTTCTATGGCCGTGTTGGCAGTTTATCATCCGGGAACGATGATTAAGAAGGCGAGAAGGACCAAGGAGGCGGCGGAGTATTGCCAGCCCATGACGGATATCGGGGATGAGGAGGGGGGGAAATAATGTTTTTGCAGTGCTTTATTTCGTTATATTTTCCTTGTCTCTGGGTTATCACGGTACATAGTATGTTTGTGAAGGTTTTGTGATACTTATTGAATTGATTCGTTGTCCAAATGTTCATATATGCATAGAAAGTATGCGGTCAGTTACTATCGAACTATTACAGTATGGAAGTGCTAGGTGTAGGTATTCCCCCTTCAATCACCTGGATCGGCCACGCAAGCCATTGCTGGTCTCCCTCTCCCAAGGATGTGCGCACCCCATGCAACACATGCGCATCCCATCCCTGCATTAGCCACGACGACCGCTGATACACTAACAAGATACTCCAATGCCCAAAGAGAATCAATGCGTATCGGTCCTTTTGCTCCAAAAGAGAGATCATCTCCGCCCGTAGACGGTACACCCACCCCACCACCAGATGCATCAGGCAGATGCCATCCTTCCCAGCGCTGCGCATCTTGTACACTTCCTCGAATGCCGAGAGTAGATCACTTATGGCAGCTGCGAACAAGCTTCGGGACGTTTCATCGGTTACATGAGACAGGATAAAAGCCTGGACTTGTTGAACCTGTTGCAGATGCTCGTCCAGTTCTGCCTGCAACTCATCACTCACACCGCCGATACTATCGTCCGGAATCGGTTCTAGAACACCGGTGAAGACGCGATCATGATTTTGCGATACAATAGAATGCACGCCATGCAACAAGATGAGCCACTCGGATCGGCCGATGTCACTAAACACCAGATACTCGCCGCGACGGGGCCCACGACCGAAATACACCAGGCAGATGAGGGCCGCAGACATGTAGATTAGCTGACAATTTTCCTTGTTCAGAAGGCACAGTACAGCAGATACCGATCGGACCCCAAAAGTGAAGTGATCGTCAGCTTGAGCGATGAACTGCGTGCGCGAAGCGGGATCTTCATGCGCCAAATGCAGCGCCGACAACGCCAGAATTAGATGCATAATAGAGGGGAACAAAATGCCCCATTGCGGAACGTGATGGGACCAGACGCGTTTGTGGTCCACTTTCTCGTCTGCAAGAGTTTTGTAGGTTGAGGTCACAAAATGGTGATAGAGCTTCAGGTCGGCAAACGAGATGCCACCGGACAGGGCACTTCCAGCGAGATCACATTGCACTCCAGTGGATGCGGATGCAGCTGAGCTTGTTACAGCTTCTGTGCGGGTGCTTGGGGATGATGTTCTTGAACCGGTTTGATATTTAGATGGTCGAAACCGGAATCGGCGGGTTGGATCGGGGGAGGTCGAAGCGGCCGGGGAAGCAAAATCACATTCGATCGAGTGTCGCACACATTTTGTACAATGTGGCTTTTTCTCATCGCACTGGGGAAGGTCAGTATGACCAGAAAGAGGGGTATATGTGGCAGGTCTGGGAATGAAGCAAGCCAAGGCACGAAAAATAGACAACATTGTGTCTAGTGATGCTGTATACTAGTAGTAGTAGGAGGGGAGTAATATATAGTACAGTGGAGGGTTGACAGTATTCGTCCGGTTTCCATCCGACGGAAGCAGTGGGAGGCCTACCTTGACACGCCGTTTCTTACAATTCTGACATCCTGCGCGGGATTTATGGTGTGATCTCCGCGAGCGAATCTGCATAGGCAGCTGGTCGTTCATGGTTGGCGTGGAGGATTGAGATCATCGTATTCGTTCTGAAGTTGCCCCCTTTGGGGATCGGCTCCTGAGGCACTTGTGATCACGTGAAGTCAGCAAAAATTTTCGCCAACCCAAACCTTCTTTCTGGACGTTCCAGAGGTAACAACAAAGCGTCGGTTTCTTGGATTAGAAGTCCCCGCAGGGAAAGCCTTTCCTGGCGTCTTTGGTCGGCCACAGATGCAGCCCGAAGGAGGGTCATATAGCCTGAGTGTACACCGTCCCCGTCCCCTTAATTAGGGTTCTGGCATCGATCGGTGCCTAAAAATAGAGGCCGACGGATCAACGACCAAGAATGGCGGATGCCTACATTCTGCCCTGAACCAGTAGGACCACAGTTTCATCAGTTTCATGGACCCTCTTGGCTTGAATCCCCTCACGCGTCTCGGATTGCCGATCTCTTCTCCAAATCCAGTATCTTGTGTATCTTATCTCACACAAGCACCGTTAGCCCACCGGCCAATCAGAGCGTATCAGGGCTTTGTGGCGCCCGCAACCCCTCATGCAGGCAGATAATACTAAACTACGACCTAACCTAGTACTATCTAGACTAGATAGAAGCCACCGACCGTAGTCTTTACTAGCAAACATATATTCTTGACTACCCCTCAGTTCCAACACTTTGTTCGCTACTGTTCTTATCCTTGTCTTCTAATTCCAGGTTCTTTCGGTATACAAACCAGCGAAATTGTAACACCATGGGAAACCACATCTCCTACCAAACATCCGAATGTGAGATCCCATTACCGGGAACAAGTGGCTGTGTCAAAGGCCTGCAAAATGGCACCCAGTCGAGACGCTTCGCTGGAATTCCATACGCGCAACCCCCCGTCGGCGACTTGAGATGGCGAAAACCTCAACCCTACCCTTTGCAACAGCTCATCGCAGGCCAGCCCGGGGATACTTATGATGCGACGCGATTTGGCCCCGTCTGCCCGCAGCCTAATTACTCCAAGGCCGTCAGCTCCCATGGTGGACCTAAACACACCTACCATGAGGATTGTTTACGCCTCAATATCTGGACACCCGTTCCTGACCCCCAAGTGCGCAATCCCAAATGGCCTGTCGTCATCTGGTTTCATGGGGGTTGGTTCCAGATTGGCGACCCCAGCCAGGAGCCGGGAATGGACCCCACAGAACTTATCTCCACTGCACGGTTGAATGCCATCTTCATCGCAGTGGGCTACCGATTGAATGTTTTCGGATTCCTGGCGGGCGAGGCGCTGCGGGTGGAGTCGGCTGGCCAAGAAGTTGGCAATTATGGACTTTGGGACCAGCGACTGGCTCTGGAATGGGTATACCAGAATATTGCTGCATTTGGGGGAGACCCAGAGAACATCACAATCTCGGGTCGCAGTGCTGGCGCTTATGCGGTTCAAGCTCAAGTTCTGTATGACTTCCGGGGCGAGATTGAGGAAGCTATGCGCAACAAATTCCGCAGACTGTACATGCACTCAAACGCGATTCCGTCCCAGCCCAAGACAATACAGGATTGTGAACCACAGTTCGATGAATTATGTCAGCACATTGGCATTTCAGCAGACCTGACAGGGGCAGAGAAGTTGAAGAAGCTGCGAGCCATTAGTGCAACGGACTTATGTGATGCAATCATGAAACTCAAATACCACACATTCCGACCGGTCACGGATGGCGTCTTCATCCATCCAGGCGTCTTTGACTATTATCGCAATGGATCTTTCGCTGCCGAGTTCAAGAGGCGTGGCCTGCGGTTATTTATTGGAGAAGTCCACGATGAAAACACATTGTATGCCGTGACGAACGGCCCGGAGGCCAATCTGGAGTCATTGAAAATGCAAGTGTCGAATTATTATTCTCCTGCCACAACAGACCGTTTACTACGCCATTATGTCCTACCAGATTCCACAGACAAGCAGGAATGGCAATCTGTATTCGGACAAATCATCGCCGACGGGCAGGTCCGAGCGCCCTACAGATTTCTGGTGAACAATCTCCTGGAGCACGGGGTGGATCTCAAGGATGTCTGGCGGTATCTCATCGCATACCGCTTGTCATTCATCACTGAAAAGGTAGCGCCAGCATCTTTTGGAGTGAGCCACAGCATGGACAGACCCATATGGAAGTAAGCAAGCCTGCCCCACCTGGCTATAGACAGTACTGACAATAACCAGTTACTCAATCATGCATGGACCCAGTCCTGCAGAGCGCGTCTTGATGGACGCCTGGATCCGAGATCTAGTGGCCTTTGTGAACGACCAGCCTGACTATGACTATGGTACACGGTCGGCAGATGAGTACAAGGTGATGACTCCGGAGGGCAAGATTGAGGTTCAAAAGGACGGCCGATGGGATAGTCTGTTGCAGCTGATGGATGTGTTTTCGGGACGTTCGGAGTCTTGATAGGGCATTCCTGGGGTTGGGGAGAACACGTAAACTTTCAGACATTTTGAGCAACAGAAATTAAGCAAGCACTATGCGATAGTTCTGATAACTAGCTAAAATAGATTAGTGTCCACTAATCAGCTCTCGTAGTCATGTGCCGGCGTTCGGCTAAGCCGTCAGCCTCGCCATCCCCCACGCTTTCCCTTCTTCTTGACAACCATCCGGCTTGTATGCAACGGCACAGCTCGAGGACAGGCCCATGCGTGGAAGATGGGTCGAAGCACCTGGAGGGCTCAAAGCTGTCGGACTTGTCTGATGCGCAAGGTCAAGGTGCGATGATTTTTGTCGATCAGCCGAAACAATTGGTGCTGATGCCTTACTTTCCGGGCACGCTAGTGCGACAAGACCCGGCCAGCTTGTATGCGATGTCAATCCTCAGCCCGCGATTGCGGAGGTTACTCTGACCTGTGAATTACTACTCGGTATCTAACCTGGAGGACAGCTTTGTTGACTGAGAATTTAGCAGTCGCGCTCCTTTATGGCACACCACCATTGTTGGATTGAACAATCGATCCTTGATAGTGGCCCAGAACCAGGAGCAACTGGTCTCGATCTTCCTGCGCGACTACTTACCCCCAGAGGCTCCAGACCCGAAGGACCAGTCGCCTATTCACTGGGTAAAACTATTTCCTTCCTTCAGTCAGTCGGTGTTGCCAGTCGTCAGGACAGCCCTCACTGCATTGACATTTGCACATGTGGCCTCCTTGCGAAAAGATCACAACCTGGCACAATACAGCAGATACCATTACGTGCAAGCGATACAGCAAATATGTACACTAACAGATATTGACTACGTCTCTGATCTCGTCCGCTCTGCCATGATCCTTGCACTCTACGAGGTCTGTGCACAATCGTCAGGACAGGAAGATGCATGGAGTGTCCACGTCCAGGCAGCCGGCAAGTT